TTTTTTTTTTTCGTTCTATTTTTCAGATAATTCAGCAGTCATTTTATAAGGTATTTGTAGAAGTAATTTTTTGTTTGTTTATTAGTTTGTTCAGTTCTTTCTTAAAATGCAGTCACTGCATTCATTTTTATTTTCAGTTTCGTTGATCTTTGCGGTTTATTGTTGTTATTTGTTAAGTTTTTATAGTATTTTTGTCATAAATTTTAATTACAGTTTAGGTCTTTACTTCTTATTATTTTACTTAAAAACAACTACTGTCTTGTTTCTACTTTTATTTCTTATGGTTACTGACAGTTTAAATACGATATTATTGCTAAATACACTGTTTTAAAAATATATATGCAAAGAAAAAGGTTTACTTAATACTTCAGATTTGTTATCTTCTGAAAGATTTAACAAAATCAATTGAAAAAAAATATTTTTTGCAAAAATCTTTCAGTTATTAATTGTTGAAATTTTATGAGCAAAAGAATTGGTATGATTTTATAAAAAATTTAATTGGTAGCAGCGAAACAAAAGTTGTTTCAGAAAAAACAATATACTGGTAATTTTGTTTTATTTAGAAATGTGTTTTGTTTTGTTCCATCTTTTCTTTTTTTGCTTCACATTTCTACTCCTCTCATTTGACATCATTGTTGACGTAAAGGAAAAAAGAAAGGAATAAAAACAGTTTGAAAAAGAACAAAAGAGACAATAATAATGAGTATGAACAATGTTTCATTCTATGCAATCAAAACAGTTGACGAATTTGATAGCTAAGGCAGTGAGCGGGTACAACTGATCACTGTGTATCAGTTGATCAGTAGATCAAATGAAGAGCAGAAATGAATCAGGTATTGTACTAAAACAGAATGCTAGAATAAGACGAAGACCGGTTCTGACAAGAGCGGCCAAACAAAAATGAATCATCAATTTAATTTATATAATTATATAAGTCATTTACTAAGCAAAAAAACCCATCAGCAACCAGGAGATTTTGGCAGTATTATGTTTGTTTAAATACTCTGTGATCAAAGATTATTTTCTTTTGTCTACTTATCCTCTTATCTTTTTTTTTTTTTCGAGAAAGAGGGAGGAAAATGAAAGAGAGATCGACTGAAAAAATTGGTTTTACTTTTTTTTTTTTTTTAATATTATTTATGACTTTTTAGTTAAACTGCTTCACCTGTTCAACCTTTTCGTGAGAAACTAATATGCTTAATAATAAATGAAATGTTTTTTTTGTCTTGAATTACGTGAAATTTGTTCAAAAACGAATAACTGCATCAGTTTTCGTTCTCATATTAGAGCAAAACAAAATGATGACATTTTTTCACCTTTTCTGATGGAAAAATAAATGGAACTGTAGTAGTTGTCAGATCAAAAATCACAAAACTGTCAATTGT